AACAAAACAGCTATTTTTTGTAGTGATTTTATAACATATTTATGTTATAATTTTCGAATAATTTATATTTGCTCTACTCTGTATTGAGCACTCTTTTAAGAATAGTATTTTATTGGAATTTATTCCGTATACACCAATCCTATACTTTGATATATATATATATATATATATATATATATATATATATATATATATATATATATATATAACGTCATCCACAGACAGACTGTTTCGCTGTTTCACAGCTCATCAGTGTGGCTAGACATCTGGTTGCCTCTAGCTAGGATCGAAACCCGACTGAATTGGTGTCAATCGGAGATTCTAACCATTAAGCCGTCGGCAGAGATGAAAGTGGATTTTTAGCGTATTTATTTTTAGAAACACGCCCAGTGACCGACAGTGACTCAATTCGCATCTGCGAAGAGTCTCGCTATATAGCTATAATAGTCACTGTTTACCAACCTCGTCCTCAGAGAGCTCAACTGAAATTGATATTTCAGGAGCCAATATATATCGCATTAAGGCGTGAAAATAACAGTCACCATATCTATAAAAGCCGTCTCTCCAATACTGAGCACTTTTCCTTATAAATATAGCAACTTTTAAACAATATATAACAGTAGGGGACAAATATCGAAGAGAAAGAAAAGGAAACTATATTGAAAATGGGGAACAAAACTACGCACTTTGAGAGCCAATTTCAACAGAATGCGTCAAGTTTCATCGGTACAATTCTAATTTCAGAAAAATATAATCTGCATAAACTGAGATAGGATAAATCTCAGGCTTTCTTTTTCTTTTCTTTTTTCAAGGCGTCCAATTTTATGGAACAAAAACGTATCCTAATTAGAATTCAACATTACGAAAGATCCTCTCTGTCCTCGTCCCGACTTTAATTAACCCTTTACTATCAAACACATGTTGCTATCATTATTTCATAACATCTTTTTGTTGCCTTTTATCAAAATACTCTGGGTCGTTATATCCAGTGTCCGCTAACGCAAACAGTGCAAAACTTCCGTTAAGACATTCATGAACGTCGCTTTAACCACTGCAGCCACGGAAGCATCGACAATAAAGTGGAATATAATCTGTAATTATTTTTCTACTCTTCCGATTCTCTACAACACTTATGTTTTATTCTCTGAGAGTAGCATATATAAGTATAAAAAATAAGTACATTTATCTGTATTGCTATGATATTTTTTATTCTTAAAATATGATTATCACAATTCAATGTCGTTATTTTTTGCCTTTGCTTTTAAATTAGAGTCATTTTACTTGGCTTGGTCTATATCAAGTTATGTTGTAGAATTACCCCATGTTGTCTGTCAGGGTACTGCTAATCACATTAGATGATATTGTATAAAACCGTATAAAAGGAAAGAAATCCCTTTCTCTTCCATAGGATGCCGTAGGGACAAGAACGTATCTTGTTTCTCCTCCAGGGGAGCTTCTTAGCCCCCAGGCGAACCACGGATAGCATACAGCACAGCACACTATCTCCTATTAAAAAAAAACATATATGTCCACAATAATGCATCAACAACAATATATCACATAAATTTGAATCTCCGTCCAAAATAATAAAATATCTCAGTTCAAAGAACAGGACAACGCCGCTACAAAATGGACTTCCGTAACAAACTTAGTAACATAATGCCATCATATTTTTCGATGTTTTATATACTTTTCTAATTCTGATTGTATATATATCCTCTTCAGAGGATATATTAAAAGGATAAACCATTTCTATTATATTTTATTAATGAGGGAAATTATTACAATGCCAAGATCTTGATCTTCTTAATCTTACTTGGGTTAGATTAAAACTTCCAAAGTTGTCATACTATGTCATAATTTGAAAATATTTTTACTTAATGTAACTTAGAAAATATAATAATTGTGGTTATAACCCTTCTCGGTATATTTTTTGGCATACCATTGACAAAAACTATTAACAATGACTTCACCTTATTATAAATATTTGATCTTAATCCTACTTGTGTTTGATAAAAATTCCAGTTATTTGAAATATTTTCATACCATATAGTTTGAAAATATTTTTACTTGATATAACTTAGAAAATATAATTCTTGTGATATCACCTTTCCCGTTTATGTTTTAGCATACCATTAATACAAGCTATTAAAAATGACTTCACCTTTCTATAATAAGATATTGAATAATCAAAATAATTAAGGAAAACCATCAATTAGTTTGATATTTCTCTTTGATCTGAACTCATAACTAAGTAAAGGGAAAATAAATGTTTTATTGTTTCTCGGCTTTGTTCTCAGTCCATTTATCATGCAAACAAACCACGGGAATAATAATAAAGAAAGTGTCCAGGCATTTGGGCTTCTTTCTCAACGGAACCGGAATTGATGCAGCAATGTTGTTAAAGATTCATTACAGAATGTTTAAAGCTTACAGGAACTAATTTAAGTTTAGAACAAATAAATGACGCACTCTTTTAAATGGTGCTTTTCATTTCACCAAATATGTACAGGAATTAAAAATCAGAGAAATGTTTTAGCAGACAACAGAAAATGTGACACAGAAATGGAGAGGTACATTTGTATAGCGAAAGATGTCTTACAAAAGCAAAGCAAAGTATTAAGAAAAGGAAAAATCACGTTAAAAACATTGCTGAACTGCTAGGATTGCTATTACTAGCAATCCTCCTCTATCACAGTGAATGCTAAACAATTTCCTCACAGTTGAAGAATAGACGTGATCTAGTTCTATGGAAAGTTGTTGAGAATGCCATAGAGGGAACATGTGAGCAAAGAGAAATTTTTAAGGAAAATAGGGAACAAAAAGGACGCTTATAATTGCAATCTGAAAGAGACAGTTATAATGTGGAAATTAGGCTTGGAGAATTTGATATTCACAGGAATATTCAAGCCAAGTGGGACATAGAGAAACAGCGAATAATTTACTTATGTAACTCGATGGCGGAACAGGGACTGGAAGGGAATAGTAAGAAGTCAAATATTATTTAGAGCAACAAAGGATAAGAAGTTGTAGAAAGCCATAATCGCCCACATCCTGAAGGTATCCAGCATATATTTTACAGTAACAATTTCTATAGACGATCATAAGTGTATGCAGTGTAGATCACTGGTTAGAGTAATGACTTTAGCACTTAAGGCTCATGTTGTTGAATTGAATTTAAATCAAAGTACATAATGTCAGCATTATGGTTTGTTCGTCTGTCCATAGACAATGCTTCATAGTTAGAAAAGTTATTTCCCATTGAGCTTGGCATGCACATTCCGTGTTACTTCTTGTCTGTTCCCTTCTAGTGATTATACAATCGGCCTTCGGGTCTGGATCAGTGCGTAGTATCTGTTCACATTTTATGGATGAAGGTACCTGGTCCCAAGGATTCCAACCCAACTACAGCACGTTCCTCATTGCACGAAGAAAGGCCGTGTTGTTGTAATATTGATGCCAGCGTGACCGTGGTGACGAGGATTGGCAGTTTTTGTTTTAGGCCCATATATGTACGCGTTAGTCACATCACACCTTAGTGGTGAGGTCAGGTAGATAAATTGTCTATGAGGTTTTTGAGTGGTTTATTTTTTCCTTGGTAATTGGAGCGTTGATAGATAAATCAAAATAACAGACACGATCGGACCAAATTCATGTTTTATAAGGCTGTCAATTGTTTGTTTACTATTTGTATTACTGTGTACAAGATGGTGGAAATCAATGTAAGAAATGTTTATCTAACTATTTAGGGGAATATTATTAAGAGAATTATATTATTAAGAGTTTGTAACAAGATATTTTACTTGCAATGTCCAAAGTAGCCCACTAACGCACAATTGCATCCGAGCAGACACAAAGTGGAACGCAGAATCGCAGATTATCAATTTCCTCAAATTTCAGTTTCTAACGATAAATAAGGTCTTTCGTGATCCCTCACAGGAAGGCATCTGAAGTTGTGAGGTCTATGGAACGTACCGACGAATCAATTGAACATTGACGAAAAAAAAAAAAAAGAATTAGCTCAGAAAATGAATAATTTGTAACACAAATATTAACAACATGAGTTCCCAGAATCAGGGAGCTACTTTTGATGATGATGATGATGATGATGATGATGATGATGATGATGATGATTCTAGATGAGGTGTTCCGTTGCATGGATTGTCACGTTTTCTCTGGTTCAAAGTGATGAGCCCAATACTCATCCTGGGTTAGTAAAAGTTCAGAGACCAGTTGGATTTGCCTCAAACAATGTCAGTTTTTTTCTGGTGGTGTGATCAGCTGATCGGGTGTCAGATGACGTGGCATCTACTATGCAGAAACCTTCATTGTGCCACGTTCATTGTGTAGAATATTCGCAACTCACAGGATATGCTAATAGCATTTCAGTGTTTTACAGGCCATCCTGACCTTTGGTCACCTTCAAGAATCTACCTTCCCCTCCTAAATTCAGCTACCAACTTTTGCACAGTTGATAAAGCTAGAGTGCCATCTCCTAATGTAGCAACCATATCGGTACCAATGTCCTTGGGGTTTAAACCTTTTTCTGCAGAAACTTGATAACACCACGATGCCAAATTGTCTCCATTTTCAAGTAAATTGCTACTAGTTACCTTTGAAGTTTTCTTTAGGCAGTGAGATGTTTACCTGGAAAGAAACGATCCAATTATTAATAAGAAGAGTTGAAATTAATGCATGCAAGATTTCACAAATGTATCACTCCTTCATTGTCAACCTACGAAGTTTTCAGCCAGCCCTCGTATATTCATTGACGATTGAATATATTGCCAGTACAGAAATACAAGTAGTGGATGCGTTTAGAAAGAATCTGCAATGAAAACGACCGACTTTTGCTCTGAAAATGTACAATTTATTTCTCTTCTCGTATCGTACTCTTATTTATGGATATTACGAATCTGTAAAAATATTTAAATCAAGATATGATTGCATGTTGCCATTTTTTGCTTGACTTTTTTTAAAACAGGCAAAAAGGGGAAATAATGTTCCCTCCTCTCTCTCTCTCTCTCTCTCTCTTACACATTCATATCCTCTCTCTCATACATATTCTCTCTTTCACACATACATTCTCTCTCTTGCGCACATTCCCTCTCTTATACACACATTATGTCACTTACACATGGCCTCTCTCTCATACATTCATTCTCTCTCACACGCAGATTCCCACTCTCTCACATACACCTTCCAGTCGTCTCTCACATAAATTCTCTCTTGCACTCTTTCCGTCATTCTCTCTTACAGATACCTTATCTCCCTCTTTTTCTCTCTCACACACTTTTTCTCTCACACATTTTCTCTTTCGTAGATACATTCTCTATCCTAAAGACATATTCCCTCCCTCTTTCATAAACATACATTCTCTCCTACACACACATTCTCTTTTTTTCATATTGTCTCTCTTTCCCCCCTCTCTCTCTCACTCTCTCTCTATCTCTCTCTCTCTCTCTCATGCATAAATTCTCTCTCTCGCACACGTATTTCATGTCTCACACACATCTTCTGTTCTCTTTTCTCTCTCACACATACACATACACACACCTTTTATTCCTTTTTTACACACGCTTTTTTCTCCTTCCGTATCAGTATCTCTCCCTCCCTCTCTCTCCTCCTCTCTCTTTCTCTCTCTCTCTCTCTCTCTCTCTCTCTCTCTCTCTCTCTTCACATATATTTAAGAACTTTTATTGGGGCTCTGAATTTTCTTTCACATCGTTTATGAGTTGTCGTCTCATGTTTCCGTTTGATAATTACTGGCAGAAATTCTTTAACTGGAAAGATTATTGCAGAAAAGAACAGAAATAAGAACATGGAAAACTTTTCCAAAAATTCGAAAACAAAAATCCTTCTACGCTAAAAATGTCTTCTCAATGTTATCCATTGAATTTTATACTCTCTCCCCGGTCTATTGAACAGGAGTAGAGGTTCGTCCCTTGTTTCACTCCCAGTGGCACCTTGCATCTTAGTGGCGTTATCGCATTGCTTGTAAGTAAAATATTTTTAAAAATTAATAATAAAATAAAATAAAGATGAATTTTCTACTCCATCATGACCTCCTTTAAGAGTAGAAGTAAACTTCGTATAAAAAAGTTTACTTATTACTTTGATGTTAAAAAGATTTTGACAATTGTTTCTTTCTGCAATAGTCAAAATTTGATATTCAAAAAGAGCCAATTTTAAGAGTCATTATTATATTTAATTCTTACTCCTTTTTGTGGGGTGTGGAGGTGTGGGGTGTGGAGGAGAATTTTGGTAGCTTAGCCTTCATGTGAGGTTGCTCTACCTACGATATTGATTTTTTTAAAGTAGGTAGAAGGTCTAATACAAGTGTAATTCTTTAAATTTCTTCCCTTTTTTACGGACGGACCATTTAATTTAATTAGTGCCCTAGTGAATTGCATCTTTCTTCTTAAATTAGCACACGTTATGAAAACATTGTTTTTAATCTGGCAAGCAGATTTTCAAATCCTATTTCATTAAAAATACCGGCAGACATTTTTGATTTTCACTAATAAATGTTCTCATTTAGGTTTTGTATGCAGAGATTTAAATTAATTCTAATAAAAGACACTATATTTCCTGTTACTGGTTGATTTTTGTTAATGCTTTCTATGAGAAGACAATTAATATCAATTTCAAATCTGAATTTTATATTCTCTAAGCAGAAGGTCACTTGATGTTTGGAGTAAGAAAATGAAAATATTTCACTCGGCCAACTCCAGTCGTTTAAAATATGGTCAATTCGTTTCAACACTTTGAAATCAATACGTATTCTAATATTGCTAAATTATAACCAGTTAGGTGTTAACTCTTATTTCAGGACATTTTGTCGCTATATAAGGTACTAGATTTTATATGATTCCTTCAAAAATCAACATTAATTACCGTAACACATAAACATCCCTGATGACACACTAATTCCTTGATGACACACGAATAAAATATCTATGATTATAAATTATTAAATTATGATTACAAATCAAAATAAAATATAAAAACCGATATTAGTTTTTTCTTTAATATTCCTTTTCAAATTATAGGCGCGTTTTATGCATTAGTATGTGGGAAACCCAGTATTTGTTAATATTTATTTGTTATCAATTCGGTTATTTACGGAAGCAAATAATGAACAATCAGAAAGATAAAATAGACACAAAGTAAAATGAAAATTATAATTTACATTAATTTTCAATCAATGTTTGCTTTGTTGCAAAATACATAAGAAATAAAAAGTACATTAAGTGAGATCAATATCTTTGTAAATAAAGATATGGTAAAGAAATAGAATATTCAAACTTGTCTTCCCGAAATTTCACAGAAATGGCGTCCGCTCGTCAGAGAGATTAGATAGTTAATTAATACTTCCCTTTATCTTTTCTATAAATACTTTCATGGTAATTGTTCTGATGTATTTTACTCTATGCTATCTACATTTTATGAATTTAAGTGCAGTACTAGATCGGCAGCAAGGTCTCATAATTTTACAGTTGGAATGACAAGGTGTAACCGTAAGTTCTATGCTAATAGTTTCTTCTCTCGTATTTCTCGCTAATGGAGCTCTCTTCTGGCTTTTTACTTTCCAGTCAACTTTGATTTTCAAAAAATTAAATGCAATATCTATCGATATCTTTTATTGTTCTCGCTCCTTAATAATGTTTTTCTTTTTCTTATTCTTTCACACTACTTGTGCCTTAGTGGCTTTATTGCCTTACTTGGGGTGAAATGATTTAAAAATACTATATGTTATCTGTAAATAAATGTAATATTTTTTTAGTCTTTTCACCCGCAGCAAGGAGATGATGCCACTAAGACGCAAGTTGTTTCTGAGAGAAAAAGAAACTGAAAAGAGATTAGTGAGAAGAAAGGACAATAAAAGAACAGGAATCAGGATGACAGAAGATACACTCCTTTCTACGAAACTCTGAGTTAGGAAAATAAAGTTGAACGATTTATTTTATTTGTTCACTTATCTCTTTTTTTTTTAATCATTTCAATTCAAGCAAGGCGATAATGCCACTAAGATGCAAAGGGTTACTTGAAGTGAAAAAATCTTAAACTGGAAACAAGGGATGAACCTGTACTCTTGTACAAAAGACCAGGAAGGAGTGTGAACCGGACAATGAACGAACCTATCTATTCCTATTGAGGAAAACATAAATAAATGAATAAATAAAAAAAAATAAAACTTCTGAATTTAGGCAGAGACGTTAGAAGTATGGAGTTTAAGTAGACTTTAGAAGGAACCGAAAACTCAATCCTAAACAGGCAAAAAGAGATAAATCTCTACTCCTGTTCACAAGACAGAGGAAGAGTGTGAACCGAACGATAGGCGAATTATTAATACTCTATTTCTTAGTATTGATAATTTTACTTATATTTTACTTACAAAAAACGTTTGCCTTGAAAGCATTATTCTCCAGAAACATACGGATCGACTGTTTTTGGTTTTATTTTTTTTTTATTTTGTTTTATTTCTTTGTGCGCGAAATAGAATCTTTGTTATAAATCGGGCGAAATAAAACCTAAAGAAAAAATGTAGAATTGCTGAAAAGTATCAGTAAAAGTATTCGCGGGAAAAATATGTTTTATGTACGTACGACATGACTTGATTGATGGATGGTGAGGTCTGTTTGTATAATACGTTTCTTTCAAGTTCATATGTGAAAAAAATCTAAAAGTTGCTGAAAAACTGGTCGGATGATGAAGGTGTTTGTTATGTCGAACTTCATGAAGATTTGTAATGTTTTGATTGGTGATAAGCCATCGAGTTGTGTAGTTGCCTGTCGACAGAGAAATGGCAAGAAACATAGTAAATGTTGTTATATGCAATATTGCCCTTCACACGAAAAGACTTTAATAAAAACTAAATGTTTTTAGGGAGGCGTGTCTAATCGAGATAACTAATCAGTTAAGAGAAACAGAGAAAATAGATTATTGTTGAGAAAGCCAGATGAAATAATGTTTTTTTTTTTGTGTGTGTGTGTTAGAAGAAGCTGTGAGGAATTAATGCAGTATTCGGACAACGAAGTTAGTTCGCTTGAACTGAGTGCTAGTGAAAAAGAATATAACAGCCTTATGTGCTTTATAAGCATTAATTAAAACAAGGGAATAAAAGGAAATAAAAAAAATGTTGAAGTCTTGTATTTATCAACCGTCCTGTAGTAACAGTTTTCCATAGTTTTTTTGTCCGTTTCTGTTCATGCTGTCGTGGAGAGTAAATATAAAGAGCTTGTTCATTCGTGTTTTGAACCTTTATAGATTCACATGTCATCAGCATTATGTGCTTAATTTTAGTCAATGAGCAAGTTGTTCATATTTACATCCTCAAAATAAAAGGTGAGTTTAGATTTATTTTATTGTTTTACTGTTGTGCAAAAATAAATTGTGAGTGTATTACCAACATTAAGCTTGTATGTGACGATATATAATTCAACGAAAAGTGAAGCAACTGAACAACAGATAGCAATCTTACATAAAGGTGATTCTGTTTTTTTTTGGAGATTCCATAGTGACATAATGAAATCAAATGAAGGAAATATAACATAATTTGAAAATTAGTGACTTTTTGAAAATAAAGCCTTGGACGTATTGTGGGTGTGGACGATTGGCTTAACGATTTTGGATTCCATATGGGCCATATGCGAGCCATATAGATTTAACCATTATTATATTTATCAAAGCAAAGTATCTCAAAAGACAAAATTTACTGAAAAGAATCCACGTAAACGTTTTTCTCGCCCTAAGAACATTTTCTAACCAATAAGAGAACGTGTTAAAAATTTTAAAGGTTAAACGATAAAGAAAAGACATAAAGATCCCTATTTGTCTCCAAAAATTATTATATGATCAACCAGTGAGTAGTTTTCTCAAAACTTTTCTTGTGAAGAAAATCTGAATCGGTTAGAGATAAAAGGACGAAAAAGAAGAAGGAAATTGTTGCTAGTTTTTCTATGGTATCTACAATTATGCGAAAAAGGGAAAAAAAAACCCTTTCAAACAAATTTCAACAATTTTATTCAACTGCTACCTAACTTTTGATACAGCTTTTCTATTCACTTCAATCGACCTCACCATTTCTATGCGCCTTTCTAATGCTTTAGAAAAATTACAAACTCTTTATCATTTAAACACTTCGCCATTCTAAGAATCCTCATTTCCAAATTTTTATACAACAAGAACACTTCTCTTTCTTCTTGACTTACATGTAAATCTTGTAAAATATAGTATGAATATTTTCCTGTTTGACTCGTAAACCTTTTAAACGTTACACTTTTCCTTGTTCTTTTTCTAGGCGTATAAACGAATATTTTGTGCATTATAATTTGTAAATCTCTGAGTCTAGTTGTAAATAAAGGGTTTTTTATTTTGTGATTTAATTCACCTCGAATAACTTGGCATTTGCTTTATTTTTTTTCTTTGCGTCTATTTTCATATTGGAAAAATTTCAATAATAGCTATGACA